ACTCACACAGTGATCGCGCGACTCGCGTACAACGCATGATTGCCGCAACGGGACGCTCTGCTGCCGTCTATCCTTTCATCCGTCCTTTCTCGCGCTCTCTCTCTCTCTCTCTCACACGCACACATGCGCAGCTCTCTCTCGCTCTCTCTCTCTCACGCATACACAAACACATTCCCATTCCCTCTCTCTCTATCTCTCTCTCTCTCACACCAAGTTTGTAGGTCTCGAGGCCGGTCTTGGCCTCGTGACCAGCCTAGAGACCATTTTCCTTGGTCTCGGTCTTGGCCTCGGAGTGCAATGACTCGGACTCGGACTCGGACTCGAGCCCTCCAGGCTCGAGGACTCGGGTCGAGGCCGGCTCGAGCCACTACATACATAGTACACAACTGTACATATTGTAATACGCAGTTTACAAGAATTTAAACTAAAACTCCTAGGTTTTCTAGATACACGGCCTAATCTTGTAACGTTTTCAATGGCTCGATTAAGATTCTTGTCCTTTGGTTTGAATCTGCTGTCACTTCGTCCTTTGCGCTTTTTCTACCACTTCTTTCTTTTCTCTACCATTTCGAAGGTACTAGCACTCTCTCATTTGTTCAACAAGCCATGTCATTCTCGTAAACACAAAATGGATCCGTTACTTTGACACGTTTCGTACGACTCGTGTCTCTGTGTTTTCGGCTGACTATACACTTTTGAATGTCTACGATGCACTGTTGCGATTTTCTCCCTTTTTTCCCTTTTCCCGATTTTTTCTTTTTTCCTTTTTCCCGATTTTTCTCTTTTTTCCGATTTTTCCCCTTTTTTTAATCAAAACTGGACTCGGACTCGGACTCGGACTCGGACTCGGGTGGTGTGGACTCGGACTCAGACTCGGGTGGCGCAGACTCAGACTCGGACTCGGGAGGGGGGGGGTGCGGACTCGACTACAACACTGTCTCACACACACACACACACCCAGGCTTTCAGATTTGAAAAGTACAGGAGGACTACTAATGACTCCCCTAGGACACCATAGGGGTCTTTTCACGGCTCCATAATCACACCCTTAAGAGGCGATGGAGAAGCTCCACTAAAAAATCACACCTTAAAAGGGAATGTGGAGAGCTCCTTGAGGGCTCTCCACCATGCCTCTTGGTGTGATGATGGAATCATGACCAATCTCTCAGTCTAGAGTAAAATCCAAAACGAAAATTGGGATGTCATGTCAATCCACTGATTATCATTCATTATCATTCACCTTTATTCATTCATGGCTTCATCATGATTACATTCTTTTCATCCAACAACCCAACACTAGCACACAGATTAATAAAAGAGTTGATCGGATGTAAAAATAAACTTGTTTGATTTATTCTGATCTTCATCCTTAGAGACGCTAATCCATGTACCTGCATATTTCACCACAAAATATCATCACAATCTATCAACAAACTAGCCAAATTACTTGTACGTAGTAGCCACGTATGTAGCCCCTCCAGCCCTACGCTGTTTCACGTCGGCAGAAAACCACTTCTCGCCACGTATAGTGGAAAACGACGCAGGTAACTTGTGCTACCGTGTAGGTACCTATATTTGGATTCTGTTGTCTAGTTGTTATAAACAGAGAGTAGTAACCTGTACCTCTGTCATACGTTCAGTTACTTACACACCACAATTGTTGTGTGTCGCTAACCTTTGTAATAATTGTGACAGGTGGCATTGCCAGTATTTACTAGTTTTACTAGTATCAGGAGCTAATAATGACAATTTGTCATTATAGCTCCTGCTAGTATTACTAGTAGTACTATAGTACTAATGGACTTTTGGTGCGCGATATTTAAACCACTTTTATAGGCGCGATGATGCACGCACCATGGCACAATTTGGGGTGCGCTGGGCGCGATCACGCCCCTTAAAATGAAAGCCTGCACACCACACACACACACACACGGCAATCAGCAGAGCGTCCCATTGCGCAATCATGCGTGTATGTGTCGCAACCTCACTCCGAACCTCCCTAACCATTATTCATTAGCTCCAAGAAATGGATTGCTAGGCCTAGGCTAGGGTTAGAAATACCCCTAGAATAATGTATTTGACGTTAGTCACACAGCCTGGTCGGGTTAGTTTACCTAACCATATGAACGATAACCTAGTTACTGTAATTCTGACCTCGTCATTAAAATCTGAGATGCGGCTAAGGTCGCCCTGGCCCCAGTAGACAAATGAATTGCCACGTCACGTTATATGAAAAATTTACAAATTCTTGAATTTGAGTTAACAGTGCATAGTTTGGAACAATGTTTATGTTAGAAACACTACATGGGCAAACATGCTGTGAAAATGGCACACACTGCTTTTTGTGAGGAGTCGATCAACTTTTATTTTACCTCGTCACACTACGCGCTTGCAACTTGTAAGATGTCAAAGTGTCTTAGCAGCATGTTAAAGCGGCAGCCAGTTGGTCCTACGCTAATATTGAGTGAACAACACACTAGGGCTGTAACGATCCACCGAAATCGAATCGGATCGCGATTCTCTTCCCTCGATCCGATCCTCGATATTTTTCCCTGTATTTTCGATTCCACTTCGATACCCCTTTTTTCCTCCAATAGATGGCGGCACTACGCTATATACTGTGGAGTGTTACTCAGCAACTGTGCACTGTATATATACCATAGAGATGTATAAATAGTATACATCCCTATGATATATACTCTCTAGACTCTCTAGTCTATTCACCATTTAGTATTCATTGGCAATTTCTAATAATTTATTATTGCAAAATAATGAAAATATAAAAAATAAGATAACATTTCAATATTTGGGAATCGAATCGAAGGAATCGAATCGAGAGCTAATATCGAGAACCGATCGAATCGAGAGGCTAATATCGAGAACCGGATCGAATCGAGAGGCTTGTGTATCGTTACAGCCCCTACACACCCGCAAATAGTCGAACTTGTAACGCGAAATCAAGCCGAATGACAACAACGCAATTTCAATGACGTCACTACAATATTATGTGTACATGATACACATGAAGCTGTAGGCGATAACACAATACACTGGCGCTATTCATTTTATATGAACTTCGGTATAGCCATAAATGTAACCATTGTTTTAGTTGATTTGCATCAATTACTATTTACCATTACACATACGATTGTGCCAGTAATTTTAAAAATGGTTGAATTTTGTTGTTACAGGACAAAACCAGAAGATGAAGGTTTGGAATTGTCAGAGAACCAACAGCAGGTTGGAAAATAAATGACCTCATTATTATTAATGTTCTTGATGGCAGTTTCATAAAAAACATCTGATTTTGCTAATTTTTCTAAAAGTTCTATTTTCATGCCAAGAATAGAAGTTTACATTACATGATTTATATTGCTACATTCTATGGATAGCATTTATTGAAGTGTGTGATTACTGTGTGCTGGATAATACTAGTACTACATATAAACCTAGAGGGAAATAGAAATTTTTTCTTGAGTCACTGCAGTCTGTTTTTGATTGATTAGTAAATTCTGAAACCATTATATTTTTCATGGCATGTAGAATATTGTTTATATTAGTATTGATAATACATGTTGGATAGTCTTGATAAAATCCTATTTCAATTATATTTTCTCATTTCAGGGGCATTTCTATGCCAACATGTTTTGCTGGTTGTAACATAATTTACATACACTCTTTATTTCTTAGGGGACAAAATAAGGGAGTTTCTACTGAGTCTGCGATATTTTCGCACATTTATTGCTCTGTGGACAACTTGGGAATCGAATCGAAGGAATCGAATCGAGAGGCTAATATCGAGAACCGGATCGAATCGAGAGGCTAATATCGAGAACCGGATCGAATCGAGAGGCTTGTGTATCGTTACAGCCCTACAACACACCGCAAATAAGTCGAACTTGTAACGCGAAATCAAGCCGAATGACAACAACGCAATTTCAATGACGTCACTACAATATTATGTGTACATGATACACATGAAGCTGATAGGCGATAACACAATACACTGGCGCTATTCATTTTATATGAACTTCGGTATAGCCATCAAATGTAACCATTGTTTTAGTTGATTTGCATCAATTACTATTTACCATTACACATACGATTGTGCCAGTAATTTATAAAATGGTTGCAATTTTGTTGTTACAGGACAAAACCAGAAGATGAAGGGTTTGGAATTGTCAGAGAACCAACAGCAGGTTGGAAAATAAATGACCTCATTATTATTGGAATGTTCTTGATGCAGTTTCATAAAAAACATCTGATTTTGCTAATTTTTCTATAAGTTCTATTTTCATGCCAAGAATAGAAGTTTACATTACATGATTTATATTGCTACATTCTATGGATAGCATTTATTGAAGTGTGTGATTACTGTGTGGCTGGATAATACTAGTACTACATATAAACCTAGAGGGGAAATAGAAATTTTTTCTTGAGTCACTGCAGTCTGTTTTTGATTGATTAGTAAATTCTGAAACCATTATATTTTTCATGGCATGTAGAATATTGTTTATATTAGTATTGATAATACATGTATGGATAGTCTTGATAAAATCCATATTTCAATAGTATTTTCTCATTTCAGGGGCATTTCTATGCCAACATGTTTTGCTGGTTGTAACATAATTTACATACAGAACTCTTTATTTCTTTAGGGGACAAAATAAGGGAGTTTCTACTGAGTCTGCGATATTTTCGCACATTTATTGCTCTGTGGAACATATTCATCCTATTTTGTATGATAATGTAAGTGTTATGATTTATACCGTACAGCAAAAAATGAATCTGTGAAGATGAAAATCACAAATGTTATAATTTTATAATTGGAAAAAATAATACTCATTGTATCAACATAAAATTTATTGAATATAATTATTATCCTATTCTGCGCATATCTGTGTGTATTTGACAAACTAATGTTTCTATTAATTGAAAAAGTTTATTAATAAGTGATATGATAATACCATGTACACTTCACCAAATTACTAAACACTAAATACAAGTACATACTATCAGGAGCCAGTGATACACGGGGGCTCGGGGCGATTTAGCCCCCGAAATGCCAAAAAGAGCCCCCGGAAATTTGCATAGAGTTCAATGCAAACCAAATTTTAAAGTGCTATTTTCATGCACGCGAGCTTGAAAAGTAGCCCCAGAAAAATAAATGTTAATTTTTTCCCTGTCAGGAGCTAATAATGACAAATTTTTCATTATTAGCTCCTGATACTATATGGAGCAATGTACCAATGTATTTTTCTTTTCAGAATATTTGGGCACTGAGGATGCACATTTTGTAATGAAACATATAAGCATCTGAAGACCGGAAGGGCTATCACACCACCATGTGATGCTGGAATAATCACTTGTCTTGGGACACACCATCACTGCATCAGACCCTTTTATGGCTGGCACGTTGCAAGAGGTTATCATTGCAATACATTGATGTTATAGTGCTGGTCACTACACTGAAATGTTTATCATCATTAGTATATGCATTTTGTGGTCATGGAAACCATGTTAGGGTAATTATTTGACACTTTTGATTACAATTACACATGCTGACATGGTAAAAACATTAAAATTTTCATCGTAAAAACAGTAGTAGTTGTAGTCTATTCCATTTAGTACCTTGGTGAATGTTGCTTATGAAATTCTGTTTATGGACTTGGTATGGTATATACAACTACAAGGTTTGGTGTATCCATATGTATATTTATACTCTATGAAATTTATTTGCAAATACTTATTGGTGATTCTAATATAGCTTATATGTGGAGTAACCAATCTACTCGATTTTAAAGATGACAAAGTTTTCAAATATTATAATTTTTATTCATTTCAGTAATGAATAAAGGTATCTTTTTTATATTACAAAAATCTGCATACTTGTATTAAAAATTCACACAAACCGTGGATAGATATCTGAATATAGATACCGTGGATGTAATATCAAACTAGCTGAGCATGCACTCTGTTAAATGCAATTGATTTTCTTAGCAATTGTCTTGTTTGGGAAAAGTTGGAATTGTACTGATAGTACAGAATTTTGGTCATAACCAACCGAATAACGTACATGAACATATTTCCAGAGTTCTCAGCTAAAATAGTTATAGCTGACATAATACAAGACTGACTAAACCTTAACACTAAGCAGCTCCTAATTTGAAGCACCTCTAAATAAATTACAGTAACTCCATCAAAACTTATCTATTTAGTTATTAGCTATCTCGAAGCCAATATAGCATTTTACATATGTGAAAGGCATACAAAGTTATTGCATATAATCGATATTGAAATTACAGCAAGTTATACTCTGTTGGTATGACTAGAGAGAATTCTGCATACCTAATCAAGCTTCAGAAACATTAAGTTTATTACAAACAATTTCAATCATTAAGAAAGCTGCATGCATGATAGGTACCCTATATTGTGTGTGCTGACCATGAGGCTACACAAAGCTGACATGAAGCAAAGATGCCTCTAATATAGTTGGATGCAAATAATGCCCTTTTAATGTACCCCACTGGTACCACAATCATTATCATCTGTATTTACCCTACATATGATAGACATTCTCCTGTCTCTGGGAACATGGATGCTTCTAAAAAGTGATTCTTTATCATCCAGAAGCTCGTGTGTGAAGTGATATCGTATAACACCCCTGAAAATATGAAAACAGTTAATATAGAGCAAGAAACAGTGATGTACTTGATACAAACAATACAAGCATTGAAAATAACACATAAAAAGTAAACGGGAGAAACTGAGTATCCCCCGGTTCTCCCCAGGCCTTTAATGCAAGTTGGGTCAGACATGCCTTCAAAACTGAAGTTAATTTGTGACATTCCATAAGTCCTCTGACATGGCTTAATTTCCTAATCAACATGGCTCAATTTCCAGCTGTTTTCACTTTTGACAAACCCAACATAGTAATGCAGTGTGTGCAGCCTGTGCACAGACTGATGTTTATGTCTCCAGACTGACTGAGTTTACCTGTGTATTAGAGCTGCTTATGACATGCATCTTTCAGTCCAATTTGTGCAACCACCCCTCGGGCCCTCCTCCACCCGTCTATAAACAATATGCAAGGCTCGACACTAGCGGTGGCCCGGTGGCTTGGGGCCACCAAAACTTGATGTCGGGCCACCAAAATTTCAAAAAGTTCAAATTTGGTGGCCCGATCGGGCCACTAAAATTTCAGTGTCTATGTGATAAAAATCATTGTTTCTTACGTGCTAATCTCATTCAAAAGAGAGCGAGCAATTTGCAGAGCGAGCGTGATCAAATGAACACAAATCAGCAGACACCGCGTCGGTCGCAATTTGCACTACACTGTACTGCACTGTATGTAATGTATATTGCTAGCTAGCTGCGCTGGAGCTCTAGCTCTAGCTGCATGCATGCAGGCTGTACAAAATAATGCATATATATCCATGTGCGCCCGTGCACTGTTTCGGATCCGAAGCGAAACTGCCAGCGTTCGAAAGTTCGTATGCGAAAGTATGCGACGTGCAGTCACATATTTTGGAACAGTCCATTTTCATAAGGGGGTAATTTTTGCACATAAAAAAAAGGATGAATTTTGAGGAAATTTTTTTATTTTATTTTAGGCCTTGTGAAAGAGCGCTTTTAAAGGTAATTTTAGGCTTAAACAATTTAATTATATTAGCTTACGCGCGATACATCACCCCCCCCCCATCATCCCCCTTCATCACCCCCATAATGATTCTTCATCGCCCTTCATGACTATTAGAATATCCTTCCCTCGCACACAAAATATTGTGCACATTACATGTGCACGCGCGTGTTTAGATAAATAATGAGTGAAAGTAGAAAAATGATATGCAAGATTCTGGTGAAAATTTGATGCCGTGGAATGGATAATTCAAATGTATGCCTCAATCATCAATGTCAGTGTGTGCCATTGTGTGGGGTTTGTTTAAAGACTTGTGCAAGTGCATCAGACGGCCCAATTTTCAAATGATATACAATACGAGATTTTTTTTGGGGGGGCCACCAGATTTTATTTTCGGGCCACCAAAAATTGAAAATCAATGATTTTGGTGGCCCGATCGGGCCACTAAAAAAAAAAGTTAGTGTGGAGCCTTGCAATATGCCTTCTGAAATTCCTCAGGAGAACCCTGAGTATAGATAATATGCATATCTACAATCCATATAGTAAAGACTATAAAATGTGCATGTCTGTATTATTTATCAAACCTTTGTATATTCCAGGGCTGTTGCTCGTGGGGTGGGGGTGGCAAGTTGTGCTCCCCAGAAAAATGTAGATACATTACATGGTCAATAGGGGTCATCTCACCAGAACATACTACAGATGTGGCTTCCCCCAGGCATAATAGGTTAGGTACGCCCTTGCATTCTCTTGCTAAAACAAACCTCATTATATATAATGATCGTCTTTTTAGTAATGCATCAACAACTATTTCTTTGTCTTCTTCATGGATAAATCTCATTATGGAATTGGACATCAGACTCAATCCAGCTATCGTGCTGCCACAGAACTAGAAATAAATGAGATCTTTTACACGCATATTTCATAATTATTACATTATAGTTCAAAATTGTAGAAGAGAAGATGTGTTTTCATAACAGACATTTTATAATTTATACACATCACAAATAGTAGAGAGTAACTATATCATAGGCATATAAAAATTAGTAATTATAAGCAATTGTCATGATACATACAAATGAGACAATTACTACATAAATTTTTTAATAAGAAACAGTCGTTGACTCAACCAAATGCATATAGGGAACTAGCTCCAATATTAATCATTTATCACAAATTGTCAAAACAATTAGTTTTCAGTTGTAAGAAAAATTCAAAATCCAAGTGAAATTGGTCTCTAGAGCTTACCCGTACACTGTCAACATGGGGCTTTATGTAACCATTTTTTGCAAGATCCAACACATGAACAAGGGTCAGTTGAGGAACACCATGAGGAAGCGCGGTATCTCTCAGTCGCTGTAATGTAGCGCAATTTACATCATTCCACTGTGAGCGTTCGGTTTCTCTGTATCCATGTATTGCCTGATTCAAAAAAACAAGTGCCTGCACTTTAAAAAATATTCAATGCATAACATTGATTATACAATAATTATGATTCTTGCTAGCACATCGATTTTTAGGTGGTTCAAGTTGTGGTGAAATTACATAGTGTAACAGTGTTTTAATACATTTTTTGCCACTGATCGGTGTTTGTTAGTAGCTCTGAAAGCATTCTGTAAGATGGTCAGCTAATCTGTAAAGTTTGTGTGTGGGGAAGGGGTCGGGAGGTGAAGAAACAAAGTAGCTGAACACAGTAAATGCTTCAGTAGACTTACATGAAAGAATGAATTGGCATATGATGAGCATATATAGTGTCTTAAATTGTTTACGCAGAATGCAAAGCCGTATCTAGCGTCGGGAGGGGGAGATTAACTGGTAATGCTCATGCATTGTTCTGGAATTAAAAAGTAGCTACATATTAGCAGAAAAAGCAGATTAGCAGATTAGCATGCATATTAGCAGAAAAATTCAAACCCAGGTATCAACATTTAGTAATTATACGATTAGAATCCACTTATATTTGCATAATTATCTTAGCTAACATTATTTCATCTGTACTCACATATACAAGTATCCATTAGTAAACCAACAGTTACATGTCAAAATTGCCAGTAGTACTGGAACATATAACTTAGCCTATATAATATAGGATTTATAAAACTGCAGGGCCCTCGCTACCCACTCGCCAATTCGCCAATGGCGAACAAATTAGTAATCTGGCGATTGAAAGTCTTATTTGGCGAAAAAAGTGACGAACGTAATTTTCCCGTAATAAACATGACCCAGCAAACATCGATCCTATTTGATCGTCGAAACAGCAACGTTTCTTTTTGCGTGCCGGCACACTCCTGTCATTCCCGATTGCAGCTTTTTCCTCGATTCCGGGAAAGTTTTGCTGTCGCTCCCTCATACCAGCGCGGTGCCCACCCCTACATATACAGCAATAACCACACCCACGCGACTGTAACAATCAGTGCATTCGCGCCCCCCCCCTCCCCCGTACTTCAATCAATGCCGCCCCAGCCAGCAAGCACGAGCCACGATGTGCACAGCCACGGACGTGGGTAACAGGGGTGTCACCGTGTCGCGGGCTGCTTTTTTCGTGTTTTTTTCTTTGGCGTGAGAATGCGTAGGGCATGCGGGAGCGCGGGAGAATGGGTCCAGATGCGTGAGACTTAGTAGGTCTGCTAACAGAGTAAGATTTAAACTAAAGGGTGAAATTTTATTTTTGGGGTGCATCAAAGACATTCAAATGTTTTAAATTTTGCTGGGTGGAGACCCCCAGACTACCTCTCTCGCCCCGCGTCTGCCTGC